GGGGGCTGTGGCGGTGGGAGCCGAGGAACGCCGGCCCGATTCGCTTTGCGAGTGACACGGCCCGGCCGCGCATGCATATTCATACGCCCGCAAAAATAGTGTCCTTTTGCGGCGCAGAGGGACCGCTCTTGTGCCGCCGCACCTGTCACGTCGGCCCTCGTGAGCGGCGGCGGCAGCCAAGGAGGAGTGGGCAGGGAGGCGTGTCCTGGCCGACAGCAGGACAAGGATCTGGTCACGTCACCTTCGCGACACTATGCCTGGCATTGTCTATTCACCGCTGCCTGCTTCACTTTCCCAGGGTTGTGAGCCAGCTGACGCTTTGTGCCCTGCCATCCTCCTGCTTGTAGGCGGCCGCGCATAACGCCTCGCTTGTCGGGCCGCGTCACCTGTCACCTGTCCGCTCACACCCCACCGTATACCGTGCCACCGCCCGCAGGTGTCTCGGCAGCTGGATCGGCAGCTGCCGGTGGATCTGCGGCGGGCTGCGAGAGGCAGGCCAGGCGGGCTCGCCAGGCACCAGGCCGATCCCAGCGGATAGTCGGATAGTCTCGGGTGCCGGGGAGTTGTCAATAATGTACAGGGCTCTTTTCCACCCCGTGGCGAGGCGGGGAGGGGAGGGGCAGCCATGAGTAGGGGTCGTGCTCTTGATGCCCCCGCCCGCAGGCCAGGACAGCCCCCGGGCCCCCACGGGCGGGCAACTTTACGGACACGCACGGCCGCTGCTGGCGTGGGCCTTAGGCCGGTGTAGCAGCAGGGAGAGAGAGAGAGAGGCGAGGTCCACAGCCTCACATCGCCAGCCCGCTCCCTGCCTCTCAGGCAGGGAGGCAGGCGCCTCGCTTCCCTCCCGAGCCGAGCAACTTTCTCCCGGCGCTCTGTCGTCTGTTCAAACTAACAGCCGGCGCTTCTGCAACTGATGCTGCATGCTCTTCATCGCCGCTGCTGAGCCGTGGAGCGAGCAGTCGGGAACCGTAGAGCCAACTGCCAACAGGAACTTGCTCAAGAGTCTGCTGTGTGGACTCTTCTCCACTGCGGTCTCTACCGGCAGTAAGAGACACAGCGGCGGGGGAGGGAGTGAGGCGACCTGTCTGTACGGGGGAGCGAGCTCTGCACTACTTGCATGTGTATGGGGAGAGGGGGATGCGTACGTGTGAAAGATCTGCGCCCCCGGCTTGTCCTGTCCCCTGCAGGGTAGTCCGGAGGGTGCTTCGCTCGCTCCCCGCTCCCGCTCCCGAGATGAAGGGGGAGCAGGACGGGGCGCTCAATGCTGCGGGGCGGGGGCGACGGGCGGGCGGGGGACCCACCTCCCGCCCCTGACCCCTTCCCTTTCCCAATTTGACGACGTAATCTGGCAGTGCGACTCCATCTCTCTGGGCCCCTTTGGACCGGGGCCGGGCCCACGGCCCACATGTCGATAACCGGCAGGGCGGAGCGGAGCGACTGAAAGGCGGTGAAAGGTCCTGCGCCCGTCCCGCGCCGTCCCGCTCCGGTCTGCAAGTGAAATCCGCCCCCCCGACTGCAGAGCGAGGGGAGGGCGGGAGGGCACCCAACGAACGGCCGCACGACGTGTCAATAAGACTGACGGCTCTGCTGGAAAAGCGTTAAGCAAGAAGGAGCTCCCCGCCGTCTGCCGTCTCAGCGACAGGCAGGCGACCCTCCGGGCCCTCCGGGCCCTCCGGCCGGCGCGGCGTGTCCCGACACGAGACCACCAGCCGGCTTAATGCGGCTCTATATCCAGGCCGCCTGGTACCGCCGGGCGGCCGTTGTCGGCGATGCGCGCTCCATTTGACGCGCCTCCCGATTATATTTACGAAACATTTTATCCCCCCTCCCTCCCTCCCACTCACGTAGCGGGCGCGCGCGCCCAGCCCAGCCCAGCCCATTGGCGACCGGGCTGTAAACTTCCTTGCAAGAATGGCAGGGGGCGGGCGGCGCGGCGGCCGCGGGAGGGGCGCGTTATGGAGTCGCTCCGATGTCCCGCACGCGTCCCGGGCAGCGAAAAGGGGGAGTCTTCGCCGGCGACGATAAAGCCGCGCGGCCTATCCTCCCCGGAGAGCGACCGGCGTAGGCTCTCTGACCCGGACAGCCCGCCCCCGCCCCCGACCTCCACCCCGACCCCCTCCACCTCCACCCCGCGGCAACCTGCGGCCTGCGGGACTTTTTCCGGAGCAAAGCATCGATTTCACAGCGCGCTGAGCATCGCGTCGTGACCCAGACGGGCATCAAACGTGACCCCCATGTGGTGCGCGGCGCCGTGCTGCGCCCCCCGGGGCCCGGGCCGCGCCCACCCCCGCGCTGTTTGCCGTCTGATATTTGGCATTCGCCCCGCGCGGCTCCTTCGCTTGACCGCGGCGCAAACACCCATGTGCCGGGGGCAGGCCGAGCACACAGCGCCCCGGCTGAGCATGCCGGGTGCGGCTGAGGCGGCTGAGGCAAGCGAGGGCTCGGACTGCGGGGGATCACACCGAGCTCGCTCCGTTCATTCGGCGGCAGAAGCTAATCTGTTGGAGTAGAGGCGCGCCTGTCGCGTCACCATCAGTCTTCTCCTCGACGCCTGCTGTGTCAACCTGCTGCTGTAGTTCGCCTCTCCTGTTGGGCCGAGGGAGAAAAGGAGAGGTTGGTGGTGGGAGGGTGGGAGGGAGGTATGAGATCGACGGGCTGACGGGTGGCAGGAGGAGGGGAGGACACGGGCGGGGGCTGACATGGCTAAGTAAACAAGAGATTTGTTTCGCCATAAAGGAGCAATAGCAGCTGTCTATACGGTGGCGCCCGCTGGCAGGCTATCTATCCTGGTCGTGTTGTGATACTCTCCCTGGCGGGCACGCCTCACCGCTGGGTCGGGTCCCCCCATTTACCGAACCGGCCAACGACTAACACGGCGCGAGCCTGTAAAAATACACTCGTCCAGGAATAGAGCGTCGCGCTGTTCTCGGCATTTACTGTAGTGGAGCCAAGCGAGGCGAGACGGAGGGGTTGGAAGAGAAGGGAGAGTGAGAGGAACAGAGAAGAGCGGGTGAGCGAGGGAGAGAGAGAGGGAGAGGCGGAGGGGAGAGAGGCTACTCGACTCCTGCGGAGTGGCGCAGCGGAGCTGTTTGAACCAAAGGCAGCAGCAGCAGGGCATTAAAGGGCGCCCCTCTGCTGGGGCCCTGCCCGTCTACCTCCCCATACCCCCGCCCCGCCCCCTGGAGGCCACTCGGTACCGTGTAGCTGTGTGTCTCGTACTCTGTAGCAGAGGGGTTGACACGGGCTCCTTGTCAGAGTGCATGCTCCGCTGGGCTGGATATGTGTGTCAGACATCGCGTCCAGGCTCGGATTAGACGCGGCATGCAGAGGGGTGGGGAGGCAGGCGTGCCTGTTTACATTGATTAAGCAGATATCACGCCCTTTGTCCTGTTTACTGTTTTAGTGTTTACTGTTTCATTCGGTTCGCGCGACATTCGGTGCACCCTATCATTCTGCTCTGCATTGTCGCGCGAACGCGTAGGTTTTCTCGCCTTGACCGGGACTTAACTCAAGTGTTTTGTGTCATGTCCATTCTAGAGGCTTGCCGCGCTGGTCTCCGATTCAACGCGCGTCCGACAACGCCGAGCAGGAGAAGCAGAAGGAAGCAGCAGCCGAGGCGGGCCAAGGTAAAGAAATACGGCCCCATGAAGGGTGATGGAAATCTCTCCGCTGTCTCTCCACTTCTCTCTCACTCTCCTTCTCTTTCTCTCCGCCCGCGCGCCCTCACTCTCCTTTCTTTCTCTGATTTATGGCCCTAACACCCCTCTCTCTGCCACTTCCATTTTCCACGCGTAGAGACAGATCCCGCCGGACAATTTCTCACGTTTCGCAATCGCCCGTAAAACAAATGAAGTGCGATCTGGAGCGGCGGCGGCGGCGCGTGTCTGCCTGCGGGGGCGTTGAGGGGTGGCGCAGGGGGGAGGGAGGCGCCCTCCCGCAGCAGGGCCAGGACGCCGCCTCCAATCACGTTGTTATCCAGATATGAAGCCCACAATGAGGCCGCTGTGGTGCTGGGCTGCTGGCCCCGTCGGCCCCGGCCCGGCCGCGACTTTCCGCAGTGTCACGTTTTATCAGCGGGGTGGCTCACCAAGGATCACCCGGGCCCGGGCCGGCCCGGCCC